CCACCACAGGGTCCCCCAAACCAGACTAGACGAGATGCAGGGATGTGCGTGCTTCCCCACCACCAAGGAACTGGGCCAGCTCCGAATAATCAGGGCAGTAGTAGGGGGCTGTACCAGAATGGAAGCTCTCCTCCCTGGCCTTTACATATCCCTGGCACAGCTCTTTCACTTTAGAGCACACCTGGTCCTAGGTGTCGGGGTGGTGCCCTCTCTTGGCCAGGGCCTCAGCCATGTGGCCAAAAATGTCCACATTTCGCCACCTTGTGTTCAGGGCTTGTAAGGCCTCTTCCTCTGACCAGAGCTCAAGAAGGGTCTAGAGCTCTGGCCCAGACCATGCCGGTGCCTGGCATTTGGAGCCCCTCGTTGGGTCCCCAGAAGGCTGTCTAGAAGGGCCAGGAGGGTCTTCAGGCTGGAACATGGCTGCACTGGAAAGGCCGCATGCTCTGGCTGCTTTGCTGCTACAACTGGCTGTGACGGTGACTGTCCCTTTAAAAGATGGCTGCAGACAGAAACCAGAGAAATGCAAGGCATGCCCCGGACTGGTCCACCAGGGCTTCTTCATGGAGGCCTTTTTTTTTTCTGAAAAAACTGGCTCCCCGCATCCATACACCGAAGGATCTCCGTCGAAAAAGGCGTTCCTCCTCGTGAAATGAGTACCGCTGTCAAAAGAAAAGCCTCGTTCTTTTGATTTAAATTCGAAAGAAGGTGACTGCAGTCTAGACAGCCCCAGAGCTGTCTAATAAGCCAGTTCCATTCACCTGCTCCTGGCCCAACTTGTAGAGTGACAGCTGCTCTCCAGTATAAAAAGCTTTATACATATGCTTTGTACTGAAGAGCCCGCAGCACATGCAACTGCTAGGATCTATAAAAATTACATTAATTAAATTAATTAAATTAATTTTTTACATTGTGTGTATGGATGCTAGGTATAGGATTAAAAGTCTCAGAGGGGTAGCCGTGTTCTTCTGTAATTTAAAACAAAAAAAAAAACCGAAGTGGCCCTGTGGCACCTGAGAGAGAATCATGAGCTTTCATGGGAAAACCCCACTTCTTCATATGAGTGGAACAAAAGGGACAAAAAACCCACCTTTAAAATTTAAAGTATAGTATTAGTAAAGTACTTGGGATCCTTTAATTGAAAGGAACTGCATAACTATGTTATGAACCCAGTACCTCA